CACACCACATGAGGATTTGCCTGCTGCTAGTAAGGCCTGTTGCATATGAGACCAGTGAGCTTCAATTGCATCCAGTGAGCGTTTATCCAACTCGGATGACAGCGTAATTTGATAGGCGTTCAGAACAGCTGGCTTCACCAGTCTGCCGGTGTCAATGCGCTCACAACATCGTCGCGGGCGTCCGCCAAAGCGCATCCACAGATCAGCACATACAAGTGCATGATCGGTGTCAACACCTGTGCTCCAAATCGAGCGACAGTTCTGGACGCAGCCTCTCCAGCAGTAACTGATAGCAATGTGATCGATTTGCGTCCATAGCTGGTTCGAGGCTGGTGGGCGCCAAGTCACCCTCCGGCGGGTGCTGTGTCGGAAATTAGTGCTCGCAATAAATAAGCGAGCATCCTCACACAAATGAAGTAACCGCTCACCGTTATCATTACGGGAGCCTATACCATGTTGGCCGCCCAGATGCAGCTCATCTGTGGATAATTTTCCAACTTGAGCGTTCAGATCCCCAGCCAGCACTACAGTGTCCGAGCTTCTTCTGTGGCGAAGGAGCTGAGTCAGTTGTCGATAGAAGTCGTCTTTTACCGAGTCATTGCTACAGTTTGTCGGTGCATAGGCATCGATAACGAATAGACACCTGTTAGTCCCACGCGACTTCGAAGTTTTGAACGAGCCAGCCAATCGGACCGCACACATCCGGCTGCTGATTGGAATCCAATCAACCAGAGCAGCTTCAGCCCGGGGACTCAGGGCAATACCAACACCGGCTTGGCCGGTGCTCAAAGCTGCATCGTCACCGGATAGGCGCAATGAGAAAGTGCTGCTAGTGTCACCTGAAGGGGATCTCAGAGTGAGCAAAGAGCTCGAGTCTTGCAGGCGGATATCCGATATGCAGCAGATATCGATCGAGAGGGTCTCTAATGTTCGAGCAAGTGCTGCCTGTTGACCGATCTGAAGCAATGTGCGAACATTGAGGCATGCCAGTCTGAAGGAGGATCGAGGGCTCCAAATGGAAGCCGATGAACTGGAATGGGCCGCTTGCTTGGACATGGGCCTGTTGACAGTGCAGGAATGACGCTCTGTGTTCACCTGTGAGTTGAAACTAAAAGACAAGCGACTATTGAAGCAAGGTGGGGGAGGGCCGAGAATTGGGGGGTTGAAAACAGGGGGGGATAAAAGTGAAGCTGGAACGGGACGATAAGGGTGAAAAAACGCAAGAAGGGGAATAAGAAGATGGGAAGGCTTGAGCAGTAGCATCCAAACCCCTATCCACCCTGCTCGATGCAGCAGATAGGGAACCGTTGATTATCCTCTGCGGTGGCCAGAGCATCAGAAGTTTGTTTGAGGAAAGATTCATTGTATTGCGTGGGCAGGATACTGTCAGGTTGCCCAGGCCTAGACAGGAGAACGAGTAGGGTTCTCAACCAAAGCCTTTGGTTCAAAAACCTGGCCGCAAGGCAGCGGGTTTGGCAATGGACTACAAGGAGTCCGTTTTAAGGAATAAGGAGCCACCCTCATTCCAACCCCCAACCTGGAGGACCAGGAGGCTGGGTTTGTCTGGCCTCTAACCATTGACCAATCTGGTATGAGTGGCTCTGAAGGTGCAAAAGCACCATCCAGTATAGCTCAATGGATCACTGAGGCACACAAACCATCGCACCACGGTAGGGTCCAGCCTCATTGCGATGGTCTATAACCTTGCAGACGTCGCGCAAGCCCATTGTAGTTAATTTCGATAACATTTTCGTGTTTGTGACATTTCTGTAAAACATACTTGCCGACCTCGTGAACTTATCTCGGATTCGTTCGTAAACAACTTATCTCATATGCCCATTAAAGATTTATGTCACCGTTTCCTTATGTATTGCTCGATATATTTTATTTGTTGCCATCCTCTCAAGTGATTGGCTGCTGCTTGACATCCCCGGTGTGGCTGCGCTTGATGTGCATGATGACAAGGTGCCTACCAGTCTATTATCTCCTACCTCGTCCCCACTGGCTCCAGGAGACAGTTGGTCGTTGCTGGAGGGGACCGGGTGCACGGTCCTTGTGGCCGTGCTAGGATCAAATAGTGGTTCCATGCACTCAGTGTGAAGAGGACTACGGTCCAGCCACCGCCTTGTGTGCGCTTGATTCCCAAATACAACGTGCTTTTGTTTGCCAGTGAAGGAGTGTGGGCCGGCTCTGTTGATGAAACATGGCTCCCATCCACATGCCTCCCGGTCGTATTCCTTTGGGTTTACACTGGATATGCGGTATGTGGTTGGGGCTGTGGGTGGTGCAGAGCAAGCCACCCATGGTCCCTCTGTAGGCGCAGGCGTCCGCTGGCTGGCCCCAGCGACAGGCAAATCCGAAACCAGATGCCGCCAACCATATATATATATATATATATATATATATATATATATATATATATATATATATATATATATATATATACATATATATATATATATATATTAAACACAACCAACAGTATAATTGGCAGAGTGACAACGTATGAACAAACAACACAACAAAAATAAGAAATAGGGAGGGTAAAAGATGCAAAAATGGAGTCATGGGGGCAGCGTCTCGCATGTTCGCCACTGCTCACGGTTTCTTGACATGTCCGACAGGGCTTCAGCCAGGTGTGTTCATGGTCCTCGGGCTCTCAACCGGGGAGTCGAGAGCGCTCGACCGCGGCCAAATTTGAAGTCAACAACTTTATACTTTTGACCCAAGTCATTCGCCAGCCACCTTGTCTTCGCTTCCATCCGACTTTTGTGCGCGCAGAGTGAACGGTGAGGCAAACGCTCAGTAACCATGCCGAGCACGTGCCCAAGCCATGGAAGCCTACGCAGTGGCCGGCAAAGTTTGTCCGCTCTGAAAATTCTTCGACGAACATCCTCATTATTAATGTGGTGTTGCCACGGTACACCAGCAATTCTTCGAAGGCGGGAAGGTTCAAAAACAGAGTCTCTGCGCATTTATTGCATGAACAGGCCAAGTCTCGCAGCCATATAGCAGGCCTGCTCTCACCGCGGCTTTGTAGACTCGGCCGTTCAGATTCAGATCGCATCAACATCAGAGATGGCGGAGAGTAACAACAGCAACCCGAGTTTTGGAACGTACAACTAACTCATTTGTTAAACCGTTTGCACTAATGTAGCTTCTGAGATGAACTTGTCTGTCTCTTGCGGAGGATTGCTTGAAAGAGTAATGATTGAAACACCTCATATTTTGGGCGGTATGTGAGGTGTCACTAATTACGGTGATGTCGTCTGCATAATCTAAGTCGCGAAGTAAGTTCACCAGAAGTAGCTCGGCGCCGCTGGGTTCGCAGTTGTCCAGAGCACACCCCAGGCTGCCGTCCATAAGGAGAGTGAAGAAGAAGCGTGATGCATGGCAGTCATATCTCACGCAACTGGTGATACTATACTATACTATACAATCGTACGCGGTACAATGTTCGAGGATAAATAGCTTGATAAACGTCGGCATGCTTTCCGAGCATTTCCATTCTCTTAAGGGGACCGAACGTCCCCACACGAACTCAGGCAGAACTACGTTTCGACCAGCCAGCCACACACGCAAGAAACACTCCCGGTCAAGCTCCATCAAGTATTGACATTCAATTAGATCTAACAGGCTCACAGGCCAATCTCCAACAATTATTGATATTCGCTCAAATCATGTTCCGTTGTTGACCTCTTCACATTATACAAATGCGCTCACTTTCAGTTATTGACATTCAATTGCCGGCCCAAGGGTCAGTTTGCCTAATTAGGTCTTGCTCACCATTCTCTCTTTTCACTAATTGTTGTATTTCATCAAGGATGGGTACGCTGTAATTGCTTGGTCGGACGAACAAAGTGCCTGGAACGAAGTGTCCATCTTTTGTTTTCATCGCACTGGGTCGGAGTCGCATGTGAAGTCTGTGCTGGGTCTAGGAGAACGTTCCAACTGTGCCCAAGTCTCCCAAATTGCGCGAAATCGTATTCTGTCATCTACTCCCCGTGTGGGACACCATTCTGTGTATCCCACTAGAAGAGTTCGTAACAAGCAGCAATACACACGTGTGGACAAGGACCAAGTTGCAATACATTCTCAACAAATAACTTCAGAGAGCAGCTCGGTCAAATGAGTCACACGCAGGTAGTATGTCTAAAAAGAACGATGGTTGGTGAAGCAAAGAGAATGGCTACACCAAAATTCCTTGACATGTCTGGCATTGGAAGACAATGGTTGCGCCTATTTAACAGCTGCTAAACGATACGGAGAGTTTAAATACGGTAGGGAGTCATGTGAATATGCTGACCGTTGTGGGCGGACATCAAGATCAGCGACCTAAAAAACGAGATAAACATCATGAAGGTTGAGCGAAGAACAAACAAAAAGCAATAGTAGTGTGGGGACAATGTGCATTCTATTTCGACGAATAATTTGAAGTTACGAATGGTCAGTGCAAGATGTGTTTAACGAATGTCAACACAGCAGATGGAGTTTCGTGTTCAGATAATCATAATATTACTAATAGATGAGCTGTACGCCGTGACGGCGTTTTGCTGCCGTGCGACTACCAGGTCGCACGCGGGCTGAGTATACCGCGAGGACGTCCACCATTACGGGGATTCGAACCCACGCCGCGAGATTACAAACTCGTTACCTCTAGGCTACGGTCCAGATACATCAGGCCAAGTCGAGTCTCGTTCAAGTGTATCCGATAAACATAAGGTCTGTGTTGATGACTATGGGCAGGGCTTGGATTCAGAGGTATCACCATCAAACAGCTAAAGGTGAGAAACATCTCACCTACTGCAGCGGAATACAGGTAACGGGACGTTAGTTTGGCGAAGACCTGTTTCGGCCCTGGAGGTTGACCTCACCTGAGCTGAATAACGTCCAACTTATATATGAAGTGGGAATGAAATCGATATGCTGGAAACGGATGCGTTTAAGGGCGGATAGTCAAAATAAAAACTTGAGCAGCCGTGTCAAAAACGTTATTTTACCGTACTCGAGCAACAACCACCACACAATAAATGTTTAATACTTCCATGACACATTTTAGGTACTGTCAGAGGCTATAGGTTTTCTTAGTGGCGAATGCTCCTCAACTGATCGAGAAATGCGGTAATTGATTGAGAATAAATGGAAGTGTTGCTAATGTTTTTCCGGAATGTTCGACTTCCATTCGAAATTGGTAGTTTGTTTCCGAAAGGAAACCGGACGAACATCGGAATGAAACCGGCCACTCGTATTATCAGGGTGGTTAACTTTTTCACTTGCCTAGCACAGGGTAAGTGGCAGATCTTCGAGTTGAACTGGCTCTAACATCGAATGTCATTCAAGCTTAGCAATGAACTAATGACAGAATATTCAACAGAGTTCGCTGTCTTGTCTACATGGTTTTCAACTCGACCGAACAGGTAGCCAGTGCCCACTGTGGATAGCTTAGACACAATATATGGAAACGTTAGGCTCGCAAGATACGGGACAGCTAAAATGCGGTTTGCCTGAACTTTCTTTGCAAAAATAATTCGGCAATGGTCGACGGCGAGCACATTCCAGACTGCATGTGTGAATGGTATAAGAGCAGGATGACACCGAAGGGGATGCTCACACTTTCGCTAACTTGGAGTTCCGGAATAGAATGAACCATTCGTATGTTCGCGCTAGCTTGTTCAATGCGCTCACCGGATGTACCTCCGTCTCTAGAAGAAGTAACCAAGTAAATAATAAGCCAACCTCCGCAGATTAGCCCCACACTCCGCGCAGAGATCTTTCATAACAACATGATGGGCGCAAGCTTCAAACCTAAAAAGTCCACAACTTGAAATTTAGGGCAACAATACAATTAAGGTACTTGGCAGTAACCGAAGTGCCATCATCAAGCAGGGCAGTAGCCCAACCATGAGCAGGCGCATATATTGACAGAACAGCAGCATCTGCTCTCTCGATCGTACAAATCAGTGTGCTCGGATTTACGGCCTGGCGTCGCTTTATCTTCCAGACAAGGCAACCCGAACCCCTAAGCACATCCGGGACGCAGACGATACGAGAAACCATTGAATTCCAGCAGCTACTAGCATAGACGACAGAAAACGCTGCGCATTTGACGAAGGTCCCGTCCGTCTCACAATACGCCAACACAATGAATAGTGGTAATTCTCTGGGTGTACCACCATTAATCAAATTAACGGCTAAATACGACTAGAGGGAGACTATGTAATCATAAACGGTTTTGCATGCCTGAGTAAGGTAGTATATTTACAATAGATGCTCGTCACCTAATCAGCCAAGAATGAACTTTTTCACATGCTGGCGGGGCCTTCAAATTGGGATTCGTAATTCCTTTTGAAATAAGTAGGTTACATTAGTTTCCTCGGAGGCATCAATTTCGTTAAACTGTTTTGCACTTTCCTTTATCTGGAGCGATATGTTAACCTCAGACTGCTAAACTGCCGATTGTTAAAAGATTCCCATTTCAATAATATGCAGCCTATGTAGTAAAATAGATCCGGAGGATTTAGAGGTGCAGTTTGGAAGCCTAATTGCTTTCAACCCCTTCAATTGATGTTATGAAGCTAAAATCTAGCCTGGTTCATAGTTGTCAAGAATACATTAAGACCAAACCATCTAGTAGTAGTATTGTCACTGGGGGACAAATTCAGTCACTTAAAGGGCTTCGGTTAAACAGCGAATTAATAAGCGCTAAGCCAGACAATGGCTCCGAAGTAGTGCTAATGGATAGGTTGGATTAGCTCCCTAAAATGCAGTACATCTTCAGTGGCGAGAGTGTTTCAGAGGCTCAAGCCAGAAAAAGACAACACAGTAATAACACTGCGGATAACGACCCCCGTCGAGGTTTTCGCTCCCACTTTTCAGATTTCTGTATCAATACGGCGAACCGCAATGTCATCCAAGCGCCTAAGCTGTAGCAAACGCGTCGCTTGCCGCTCAAAAGCTGCTCAGTGCGCTCTGTGTGAAGGGTGGCTTCACACTTCGTGCTGTAACATCGATGACGCTCTATATGAATGTCTCCAGCGCACTGCCTCTGAGGTCATGAGCTCACATTGTGACTCATGTCGAGTAATAGTGAATGACAAACGTCTTCTGGCTAACCATCGTCCTTTGAGTATATGCAGCCCTGTCACCTTGGCCGTGGACAATACGGAAGATGAGTTACCCCCATCATCCATTTCCCTACCTGCATCTCGATCTGCTACACCCAAACCAAATTGAACCCGCACCCTTTCTGCTACGTCGGCCGAGTCATTACAGTCCAGTAAGATGATTTGTCGACCGAGGAATAAGCCCGCAACGTATGCTGCCGTGGCGAGCGCCACCGCTCTAACAACAACCAGTCTATGCCCAGCTGAAAGCACGCCCCCACGAAAGCTGGTATCTAAGCCCAAGGCGAAATCCAACACCGGGGATAACCCTTCCATAGTGAAGGAAAATGTGCCCCCGACCTTTATCAGCCAAAGCCCAGCCACCAATGCTGTTAAGTTTAATCCCAAATCCGGGGATAAACCAAATTCTAAGCTCTCAGCTTCTCAGTCGCGAATGAAGCTAGTTCTCAATAGACTTTCTGAGCTAGAGAAACTGATCAAAGAAAATCCGTCCTCTCGCAGACCGCAGATGCCTGAGCGCACTCCACCTTCTCGGGACCGTTGCCTCATCATTATGAACGCAGCCGAATCGAACAAAGCCACCCCAGCGGAAAGAATTCTGGATGACCAAATTCTTCTCGAGCGTTTGATCTCTTTGTTATTTGATGAAGGGGAACAGGGGATTAACATCGTTTCCGCATTCCGGCTCGGCAGGAAGCAAGAGGACCCAACCAAATTTCGTCCCCTCAAAGTCGTGTGTCAGACAGAAGAGGAATGCCGACGTATTCTGCGACGGACCTCGCGTCTCAAAGGTGAGCCATATTACGTACTACGTGATCTTTCTCCAGAGGATCGGATAAAAATGAAAGGCTGTTGAGGAGCTACGAACACGCCGAGGAAATGGTGAAACTGACCTTCATATTGTGGATTGTTGCGTGGTTCGGAAGACCCTGAGAGCTCGTTGGAGACCCATTCTTCTCATCCCGGGACAATAAAACACACAAGCGGACTATTTGTATTAACCGCCAATGTGCGCAGTCTGAGGAATAAATTGGATGAGATTCAGTTGATTGCCTCAGAGACCTGCCCGGACTTAATGGCCTTCACTGAAACCTGGCTATTCACCGACATCACGGATTCAGAGGTGTCTATCCCTGGTTATCACCTCTCCCGATCCGATCGACAAGGAGGGAGGCCCGGCGATGGTGTAATAGTCTATTGGAAGACTGATATTAAAGTGCACGTAGTTGAAGCGATCAGTGACAAAGACGATGAGTTTGATGCACTCTGGTGTCGTGTTCATGATGGTCGGAGTTCTCTCTCATTTGGTGTTGTCTACAGAGCGCCTTCAGGATCCGGAGCCCGGTTGATGGACTCGATCAGGAAGCATGGTGCACGAAAGGATTGTCTTATCGTTGGGGATTTCAACGCTCCTTCTGTTGACTGGAACCTGTTTCTTTGTGACCGACCTACAGAATCCTTCGAAGCTAACTTACTGGAGACCATTCTTCATTGTAATTTGCTCCAACACGTCACTACACCAACTCGTATTCCTCCACATCAGACGCCGCATAACTTGGATCTCGTACTCTCCCCAACACAATCAGACATCACGAACCTTTCAGTTCTACAGCCCATTGGCAGCAGTGATCACTGTACTGTCTCATTCCAGTGGTCACGTCGCCTCGCTGTTCACAGTCAACGTGCCGACCGTCGGAATTTCTGGCGTGCCGACACAACTCGTTTGAAAACGGCGGCAAGCATTGTCGATTGGAGTATCCCTGAACACCTCAATGTTGACGAAGCGTGGCATCACTTGTACTCCAAGCTGACGTTACTCTTTGAACAGGTCATCCCCTTCTCCAAAAGAAGACCCTTCTCCAAAGGCCCTCCATGGATCGACCGCGAATTGAGATTAATGATGAAAAAAGGCGAAAACTGTGGGATCGTTTCAGAATTACGCGAGTTGAGCTTGACTACTGTCACTACAAAACGGTCAGGAATGCTTGTAACATAAAAATACGAGCGAAACGCCAAAAGTACGAACTGTCATTAGCTGCACTTTCTAGTACAAACTCCAAGGCGCTCTTCTCATACCTCAAACGAAGCACTAAAGCTGGTAGTGGTGTCCCCGCCTTGTCTCCCTGTGAGCATTTGGACCTAGTCAACGAAGACGGTGAGAAAGCTAGCCTTTTGGCCCAGCAATATTCCTCAGTCTACTCTACCGAAACCCCACTCCCAGATAGCGTTGCACCCACTCCTCCTTTCCTGCTGGAGCACGTGAATGTTTCTACTGTCGATGTAATGAAACTTCTACTTGACCTAGACCCGTATTCCTTGCCGGGTCCCGATGGTTTACACCCATTGTTCCTTAAGACCGTGGCCGGACACATTGCCGCTCCTGTATGTCAAATTTTCCTTCGTTCCCTTGAGGTCGGGCGGCTTCCTACTGCTTGGAAGATGGGAACGGTTAAACCCATTTACAAAGGAGGGGACCGACAGAATCCAGCCAGCTATCGTCCCATATGTTTGACTTCGATTTTGTGCAAAGTTATGGAACGGATACTGAAACGGGCCCTTCGCCTACATCTCGATGAGTTAGAGTTCCTACCTCATGCCCAACATGGCTTCCGAAGGGCGCGTTTATGTGCTACAAATTTGCTGGTAGCTAGGGAAAAATGGGCAAGATCCTTAGATGCCGGTAAGCGTCTGGATGCTGTGTTTGTCGATTTCAGTAAGGCTTTTGACAAGGTCCCACATGAGCGGCTCCTCTTCAAACTCCGGGGAATCGGCGTCACTGGCAATTTTCTTTCATGGGTCTCCGATTTCCTGCAAGGTCGCTTCATGCAGGTCAAAGTTAACGAAGCGCTTTCTGATCAAATTCTCATGACTAGTGAGGTCCCCCAGGGTTCTGTACTCGGCCCCGAACTCTTCAATATCTTCATCAAGCACCTGCCATCCGAACTGCAGACCGACTGCTTAATCTACGCGGATGATCTGAAGCTGTGGATTGAGGTTTCTAGTCTGGAAGACGCAGACATACTTCAAGCGACACTCGATCAGCTCCACGATTGGTCACTAAAGTGGCAGTTGCCCATTAACCATGACAAATGCGCTATCCTTCCAATCGGTGCTCCTGAGCCTTTTGGGGCTTACCATATCGGGGGTTTCCTGCTCAGAAATGTCAACCAAGAGAGGGATCTTGGGGTGATTGTGTCTTCTGATCTCAAATCAATGGAGGACACCCGGAGGAGGGTGGCATCCGCATACAGAATACTTCACGCTATACGGAGAGCCTTTTCACGCCTGACCCCAGCACTCTTCAGATTACTGTTTGCTTCTCATGTACGCCCAGTTCTCGAGTACGGATTGCCTGCTGCGTACCCGCTCACTAAGTCCGAACGTGACATGATCGAGAAGGTTCAACGGCGTGGATCCAACTCCGTTCCAGAGCTTCGGGACTTATCCTACCTCCTCCGGCTACAACGGTTGAACCTGTTCTCTTTGGATTATCGTCATCGCCGTGGAGATATGATATTCACCCGGCGTATTCTACGAGGTGAGCTGGGGAGTAAGCTGCAATCGTTTTTTTGTCTAAACACAAGTTGTGCAACTCGAGGCCACCGGTGGAAACTTTTCAAACCGCGGCGACTCCGTGTACGGTCCGATCTGACCCTATCCACCCGGGTAGTGCATGACTGGAACAGCTTGCCAGAAGCTGTCGTCGATGCGGAGACGGAGGTATGTTTCACACGACGGTTGGATACCCACTCTCTGAGTGCGCAGGGATTCTGCTGCCCACAATACAACCATAGCGCTCTTCTGCTGAACCTTGTTCCGCAATGATCCCAGCAACCCTCGCAATGTCCGGGAAGTGACGGAGCTGACAAAGGAACTTCCTTCTGCTCTCTACTAACCAATGAACCAATGAGGAGAGTTAGAGAAACAGCTGACAGGCTGCCTCAGGCGAATGATGCAAGCCAACCTCATCACGAAGAACGAACTCGAAAAGCTATAGCCTTCAGGTGGA